GTCAGTTTACTGCAGGGTTTGGAGAGGAAAGGTCAGAGAGAGAACTCAATGACTCACAAACTAGTTGGGTTTGTGACGACAGTGATAAAACACAAAGCTGACTGTGAAATTTATCACGCGGGTGGTGTCATTTCCCAGTTAGCGCAATAACTTCTCAAAAGCACTTTTATAAGCGCACTTGACATCAAAATGGCTCTGAAATGGTTTGGTTTTTACAGAAAAACCTGTTGATGTGCTGTGCTTTTTTTCTTTTTACTGTAATAAGTAGCCAACATACCTTGATTCCTCTGATTCAGTTTCAAATGATCTAAACAGAAAAAAACAATCACGTCAACACACAAGTACGCTGTACAATGATCTTTTTTGAACTACTATATTGAAATGTCTTTGTTAGTACAAAAGTCTGCTTTCTAAGGCCTTTACTTCAGACAAAATTACACACTATAAAGCCTTACCCGCAACTCTCAGTTTTCGGCAGTGACGGGAAATGGCGGATATTGAGGAAATCCAAGAATATCTTTGGAAGAACCTCATTTTCCATCATTATAGTCTACACACACACACACAAAGACAATCAAATGGTTATTCCAGAAAACAGGAAAGGGCTGTTTTATATCGTGTCGTTTCATTTGTTAAGCATCACTTCAATCAATACCTGGAGATAGAGCTCGAGTCCCTGTCTCCTCTGATCAAGAACCTTGGGCACCCAGTTCCTCACATGCTTCGAAGGGATTTCTGGAGGTTTAATGATCTTTTTAAGCTACAAAGAATACGTGATAGAAAAAAAACATGTTACAAACTGCCCAGAAGCTGTCTCTAGAGTTTACACACAAGGGCAGTCATGTTCTTCACGTGGAATTACGGCATTTACCAAAAACTGTAAATTGCGTAAATGTCCACTTCATCTGACGTCAAATATCCTCTTTCCGCAATGTACACTATCATATATGACGTACTCATATATGACGTATTTACTTGTTCTATTTTTATTTTTTATTATCTGTGTTTTTGTT